AGGCGATTTATTACTCATAGATACATAATATATATAAATTTATTAATTAATTAAGTTTGGCTTATATATAATTAGAGCTATTATTATTATTATTAATGGTGGAATTTATGGTAAAAAAAAAAAAAAAATTAAAGGAAGATGATGATGATGATGATGATGATAATTTTTTTGGAATCACTTAGTGTGCATGTTTTGTGAAAATTATTTTTTTCTTTTCTCTTTTTTTTTTATTTTTTTGACGAAAAAAATAATTTCGCAAAATTATTTATCACAACAGACAATTTTGTTGCAATGTGTGTGATCCGTTAAAAATTTGATTCGACAGAGGAAATTAAAGAAAAAAAGGAAGTACTAGAATAATCACAGCAAAAATGCTGTTGGACCTCATCGTCCCCTGATGATTGCGACAGGCGATTTAATTATTTATTAATTATTTATTTATTAAAATTAGTACACATCACAGCTGTTTTGCTGTTGGACGGCGTCCCCTGTCGCGGTTCACAGGCGATTTTTTTTCTAATTTTTTTATTATGTAATAATAATAATAATATTATTGCTTTATTGGGTCGATTTTTTGTGGAGGCGAATATTTATTATAAATGTCTAATGTGCTTCAATTTTTTTTTTTTAAGGATTTATATATATATATTAATATATTATTATTAATATATATATATATATATATATAAATATTTAACAAATTTTTTAATAAATAAGTCGGGTGTTAGTTAAAAATATATAAATAAACATTAAACCTACATAAAAGCAAATTAATAAATACAAAAAAAAAAGATTATTGAGGTAATGTGTTAATTTTATTTATTTATTTATTTATTAACGTTTATTTAATAACATTAATAAATAAATTCGAGAATTCATTTTGTTGAAATTTTTTTTTTTTTTTTTTAGGATTTTTTTTTTTGTATAAATAATTTTCTAAGGTTTCGATTCGAGAAATCAGGTATTAAAAAAAAAAAAAAAAAAATTTTTTTAATTCACGACGACGTCCATTATTAAGTTAAACA